GGAGACGTACCTGGTGGAGATGGGAGGTCGGCATTGGTGTTGACATCATCACTCGCTGGTCGTCAAGTTGTCTGGTTGCTTTCATACTGTAGTTGTAGTGTTARGCTGTAGAGTAGGWAGGGSGCYTGGCGCCATTCAAGAGAGAGAGCTACATTGGGTTATGCTGTTGGTGTTGCCCTGTTGGGCTTGGACATTGACTCATGATTCTTCTGTATCGTTCTCAAATGGATGGCTACTCGGTTCCATTGTGCTRTCTGCTCTTGCTTTGACTACTTGGACTTCAGTGTGATTTTGCAATCTGGATTTYTGTGCTTCGTCCATATTCATGTTCCTTGCATTTTGGTATCGSAGCTGGTTTGATTCGCCWCTTACCTTGGTGCGCYGGCGTTATACACACTTGGTGCGTTGACGATGCTTCTTCGCAGTTGGTTCTTGTGACGTCAGGCCATACTAGGCGCACGACCTGGGTAGAGAGGTGTGCGCCGGAAGGCTAAGACGGCATTGATTGCCGTGGTGACAGGCGGAATGTATGATTGGTGATGAGAGCATGCTGATGTGGCATTCGGCCGAGGTGGCACTGCATTGCGTTGTGGGTGGTACCGAGGCCAAGACCGGTCATCAAATGCACACTCAGCTCAATTGGTGAGAAATCGGTGTTTGGGGGCAGCTATCTCCAGGTACGTTGTTCCCTTACCTTATCTACTCTCTCAATCTCTTCTTACCGCGAGGAAGTGAGTCCAACTTGAGAGTCCTCTCTTTTGGTGAGGTGTCGTGAGCACGCTACCTTGAGAGACAACAATCTTTCCAGAAGCATCTGGAAGGAGAAAGGGCGGTGCCTCTGAAGGGCCCTGGTCGAAGCACTGGGTCACGGTCACCATGCCAACCCAATGGGAGTAGGTCACGCATGCAATGGCTGCTGTCCATTTTGGCACTTTGCTGCGCTGATAGAAGTCCTGCCGGGTGTGCCAGCCCATATGAGACGCTTACCAGACCGTCTGTAAACATTTCTGGATGGGGACTCAGTGTTGATTCTGGCTGTGATCGTCGTCCTGTCTGCGACGTTAAATAATTCCTGCGGAGATGGGGGCTCTCCTTAAATCCCTCCTGATCAGCCAGATCACACTTGGCAGTAAGGCTCATTCCGTACGAGGGTAAATAAGAGTGGATGGGCTGGCTTGCTCGACAATGACTTGGGCACAGGGGTGGGCCGACAACACACACGAAGACACCGCTGCTCATTGATGCTATTCGGTATGTTGGATTGAGGGGAGGGTAGATTCTAATTGATGCTCAACTGGATACACAACCATACCCATTGATCATACATCTGCAACATGGTCTTGGTTTATTATTGATTAGTTGGTTGAAAGCTGCTAACACCTCATAGACAAATTAGAGTAGGACTGTTGTATACTACCATAGCCAGTTCTAATGCTGCTGTAAGTGAACCAATCAAGATACACCTAGACTATGTTGACAGTCTATTGTGAATGTTGTAGGCTGCTGCTTGATCGGTAAAGTAGGGGACCTGCCGGACACAATTATTTTTAGAAAATTAGGTGCTAGACACATGTTGTGGTAGGACTCCATTAGGGGGTTCTAGTGCAGACAGTGTTTGCCTAACTGATGAGTGGGTCAGACACCGATTAGGGTAGAGTTCACGATAGAAGACTAACACGTTCGAGGGCACTTAGGGTCCCTCACGTGTTTCAGGCCTTACAACCGGAAGACGAAAGACGGCTTCGTGCCGAACGAAGAGCCCGTGCTCTTGCAGCAGAGTTGGCAGCAGCAAACCAAGCAGCTAGAGAGCAGGCAACAACAGCCAGAGCAGCAGCAATGGCTAATGGCGCAGGCTCTGCTGCGTCCTCGTCTGCATCCTCGTCTGGGACCCATTTGGGAATGCCCCTTGGGCCCACGGGTACAATGAGTTCTGGTCAGTCTATCAGTCAAATGGCGGGCTCGCAGTTAAGCCCATTGACCCCACGCGGCAGGGAGCTCCTAGAGCTCCAACAAGTCGAAAGGATCCGCGAGCGGTTAGAGAGGGAATTGAAGCAGGCAACCGATAGAGAAAGAGAGGTCAAAAATAGAACAGCCAGGCTTGATACGTTAGAGGCAGACAAAGCTGCATTAGAGGGTTTGGATGAGTCTGGAATGTCTGACCAGCTCAAAGTATTGAAGAACAATATGATGTCGTTGCATGCGCACGTGGACAGCAGATTGGACTTTATGCAGAACTCTCTAGACCAGATCTTGGACTTTTTGCAAAGGCCAAGAATTAGACCAGCAGCACAGTCGCCGTTGCCGTTAACGGCGATGTCAGGCCCGTTTCCCGTACAAGCTGGCACACAACCAAGTGGTACGTCTGCAGCAGCCGCACAGACTGTTGCTTCTTCTTCTTCGGGTCCAGCGGTGATAGCTACACAACCACCGCAACAACCTGTTCCTCAACAGGGACAGACGCAAGGTCAATGGTACCCTAAGACCCCTATGAAACCGCCTCTTGCCTTCTCAGGAGAAAAGAAGGACGAGGAACTCAACACATGGTTGAGAACGGTTCCAGTATGGGTAAAGGCGAAGAGGACTTTGCAGGAGGAGGAGGTGATTACTGCTACATCTTACCTTGAGGGTAAGGCAACCAAATGGCTGGATGGTTTAGTTTCAAAGGCCGGGTACAGACGACGGATGGCGGACTCGGCTAAGACCATTACGTTTGACCAGTTCTTAGAGATGGTAGAAGCTCGTTGGCACAATCCACAACAGGCTCAAATTGCCACTGATGCGATAAACAGACAAGACCAAAGAAAGTTCAAGTCAGTCAGGGAGCTTACGACTACCGTAAAGAGCCTCGCCGTCGTCCCAGGCATCAACTATGATAACCAGTTCCTGTTGGCCACATATGTGAGATGTCTCCCAGAGAACCTCAGGAATTTGCTGGCCAGCGAGGCTCGCCTCGAGTATCACTCGTTTGAGACGTTATCTAGAAAAGCCTTAGATTTAGAGGCCACTCTAGGAAATGCTCAACCTTCTCAGAATGACGCGAGGAAGAAGAAGAGTCCACAGGAATGGAAGAAGAAGGGGGCTAAATTGATGATGGTTGAGTCCGATGGGACTCAAACAGAGATCGATGAGCTCACCGACCTGTTGGACGTTTCAGAGTTTGACGACGAGGAGATCGCTGAGGGTAGCACCCTAGCCGCAGTAATTAAGGCTAAGGCTGGTGGCCGAGTGAAGGACCATCAAAAGAGTCAAAGGAAGGCCGCCTCCAATCAGACCAAAGTTGCTGATTGGGTCAAGGCAGGTCTTGATCAAGAAGTGTGGCGGGGCCGCCGAGTGCGTGGTGCTTGTATTAACTGTGGTGAATACGGACACACCCAGTACAAGTGCAAGAACGCAAAGGTCACGCAGAAGATACCTCCTAAGATGGAAGCATCTTCTTCCCAGGCTTCTAGCTCGGGAAACACGTGAGGCCGGTGGAAGTTTTAGCTGCGTCTACTCATGGTGAAGTGGGCCAGATACCCTCCCCACTTCATGAGATGGCCATAGCTAATGACTCTTTAGTCACCCCGCAGACTCATCCAGACCAAACTATGCTCTTTACATTCGATGTGTCTGAAGCCTTAGAAGATCTGGAAAGTGAGTGGTCAAACAAGGACCCTCGTGAATCTTGGGTGGCACTAAGGAAAGGTCCTAGAGGGGAACATTTTGTGGTGGAAGTTGATGTAGGAAGCCGCAAATGTGGTGCCTTCATAGACATTGGCTCCACGCGGAATTACATAAGTCGCGACTGTTTGGAAAGGCTGCACCTACAGGACCGGGTACAACACCTTAGTAGACCCGTAGCATCTACTTTGGCCAATAAGGAGCGCATGATTGTCACAGACTATATCAAAGATGTAGTCTGTACCTTCTCCTATGGAGGAGGGGGACTTAATCATAAGATTTCGTTCCTTGTTAGCGACGGCTTACCATTCGACATGTTGTTAGGCATGTACTACCTTGAGGTTCCCAAGCCCCAGTTTGACTGGGACAAGAAGGTGCTAAAACATAAGTTGCCTAATGGCAGAACAGTCAGATTGACTAAGTTCAAAGCCAATAGCATAATAGATACCTATGGCTGCTTGTGTGCATCAACGTTCTATAACTATTACAAACAGAACCAAGAGGAGGGTATGTACCTTGTGTATGTCTCTGAGAAAGGGGAGGCCGTTAAAACACCCCCARAGATAGAACGCGTCGTTGCTAAGTTCCCTGATCTGTTCACTGAGCCTACAGGAGTCGTAGAGAGGGAGATCGTCCATGCCATAGAAATCATTCCAGGGAGTAAAACCCCAAAGGGAAGGATCTATAGGATGGCTCCGRCCGAGTTGGATGAACTTCRRCGACARCTGAAAGAGYTGACAGMGAAGGGATGGATCCGACCGAGTACTTCCCCCTACGGATCGCCAGTACTATTTGTACCAAAGAAGGGGGGTACGTTGAGGATGTGCATTGATTATAGAGGCCTCAATGCCATCACCATGAAGAACGCAGAGCCTCTACCTCGCATAGACGACCTATTGGATAGGGTGCAGGGATGTAAGTATTATAGTAAGATAGATTTAAAATCCAGCTACCATCAGATCGCTATAAGACCTGAGGACCAGCACAAGACTGCATTTCAGACCAGATACGGTCTGTATGAGTTTGTTGTGATGCCCTTTCGCCTTTGTAATGCGCCGGGTACATTCCAGCAGGCCATGAATAGGATCTTCCATGACCACTTAGATAAGTTTGTCGTAGTCTACCTCGACGATATTCTTATCTTTAGTAAGTCTACCGAGGAGCATGCACAGCACGTTGAGACTGTACTCTCACTCCTGCGACAACATGAGTATAAGGTCAACTTAGAGAAGTGTGAGTTCAGACGTACTAAGATCTTATACTTGGGTCATGAAGTATCCGCGGAAGGGATTAGGCCGGAAGATGCGAAGGTGGCTAGTACAAGGGACTGGCCACGACCTCAGACTGTTACTGAGGTCAGATCTTTCTTAGGAATGTGCGGCTGTTATAGGAACTTCGTAAAGAACTATTCTACAGTCGCCTCTCCTTTGACAAATCTAACTCGACTTGACACGCCGTGGGACTGGAGTGATGTGTGTGAGGCTGCTTTCAAACGATTGAAGCATGCACTCATGAATCATGAGGTTCTCATGGTTCCCGATCCTCAAAAGCCATTCATAGTGACCACTGACGCAAGCCAATATGACATTAGCGCAGTGCTGGCTCAGCAGGATGGGAAAAAGTTGAGACCGATTGAGTACATGAGCAAGAAAATGCCATCAAAGAAACTGGCAAAGTCCACCTACGAAAGGGAACTCTATGCTCTTTACAAAGCCCTTGTCCATTGGAGGCATTTCCTATTAGGACGGTTCTTGTACTTGAGAACTGACCATCAGACCCTCAAATGGATCAAGACTCAACCGACTCTCTCTGATGCACTCAAGCGGTGGATTGAGGTCATAGATCAATATGACTTCAAGCTAGAGTATCTGAAGGGAGAGTAAAACAAGGTTGTAGATGCGTTATCCCATAGAGCAGACTACCTAGGGGCGCTAGTTTCTGAGTTTGGTGTATCTCAGGAAGTAACTCAATCGTTGGTGGGAGCCTATCAGGAAGACCATGTCATGATGGACATCATGCGCAAACTTCAGGCAAAAGACAAGGCCACAGAAAGTGAGTTTGTGATGGTGGATGGGTTACTCTTTCTCGATAAGGCCGGGTGTAAAAGGTTAGTAATTCCATCGAGTGAGAGTTTGCGTAGTTTATTTGTAGGGGAATGTCATGACGCAAGTGGACACTTCGGCTACAAAAAGACGAGTGCCAATTTGGTACAGCGATTTTGGTGTGTTGGAATGCTAGATGATGCAAAGAAGTATGTAGAAACCTATCAGGTCTGTCAGCGGGATAAGCTGTGAACTCAAGCACCGCTTGGGTTGCTGAAGCCCTTACCGATCCCCGCTGGTCCGGGACAGAGTGTTTCCATGGACTTCATGGACACCCTGGTGACGAGTAAGAGTGGCAAGAGGCACATCTTTGTCATCATAGATCGATTCACCAAGTACGCTAGACTATGCCAGAGACCGCAAGAACTGACCATGTCATCAAGGTGTTTATGGACAACTGGGTGCATGACTTTGGACTACCAAAGTCAATCGTTAGCGACATAGATGTCCGATTCACAAGTGAGTTGTGGAAGAAGACTGGTGAGCAGATGGGCAGTCAACTTCAAATGACTTCAGGGAATCATCCCGAAGCCAATGGACAAGCCGAACAGATGAACCGAGTTGTACAACACTTGCTGAGGCATTACATCAAGCCCAGCCAGGATGACTGGGATGAGAAGTTGCCTCTCATCGCCAGCCTGTACAACAACGCTGTACACAACAGTACCGGCGTCAGTCCTAATCAGCTGCACTTGGGATGGAAGCCTAGATCAGCTTTAGACTTCCTCCTACCTGAAAACCGATCCTCTACAACTCCAGGCACACTTGAGTATGGTGTGCACTATGAGAAGTTGCTGCAGCAAGCTGTCGAGCACATCAAGAAAGCTCAGCAAGCAATGATTGCTTCTGAGAACAAGCATCGACGACAATCCTCATTTCAGGTAGGGGAACGTGTCTGGGTCAAGGCTAGTGACCTAGGACAGGAATTCGGGATCTCTCGTAAACTAATGCCTCAGTATTTTGGTCCCTGGGAAGTCCTGGATGTAGTGGGGGATGAGATGGATGGTCCTACCTATGTTATCCGTATCCCTGGACACCTACGCACTCACCCTGTCTTTCATGCCTCAAAGCTTGCACCTTTCGCTGAGACAGATCAATTCCCTTCAAGGAGATCGATGTTGCCCCCAACCATGGATGGTCAAGTGGACATCAACGACATTGTGGTTCACAGAGATCTGCCTGTTCAGAAGCCATTGGGTAGAGGAAGACCTCCAAAACCCAAGCAGGAGTATCGCGTCAGATTCAGGCATCATACAGATCCAAAGGAAGATCGATGGTTCACCAGAGAGGAACTGATTGACACAGCTCCTCAAGTGGTGGCAGAGTATGAGAGAATGTTAAAAGGGACGGCGCCTGCGAAGTAAGCATCTCAGCGGACTTTCGAAGCTAAGGGGGATGGAATGTGAGGATTGAGCCCTCAAGAAGGGGCCTTGCCATGATGTACCAGCAAGCCTCGTGCCCGCCCTAAGTGAAGGCGGGCCAGCAAATCAACAAGAGCCCTCTTTGTAAACATTTCACGAAGTGGGGTCCACACAGTTGCAGCACGCCAGTTGGTTGGTGTGCACCGAGTATCGGAGCTCTGCAAATGCAGAAATCCCAGGGCCCCGAGTTGGTTAGGCCCTGGGCA